ACTATGCTACCCGAGCCCCTTAGTGACCCTATATGACATAATAAAACTGCTCATGTAAGTTTCTGAGATTTTAAATCTTGACAGGGGCAGATAGATTGATCTTTCTCCTGAAGTGTGACTAGTGGTTTGAACTGTCAACCTTGCAGTTAGCAGCCCAATGCTTAAATACCAGTGCTACCAGGCTCTTCAAGTTATAAATAGTGGACAAACTGATCACAAGCAAAGTTACTAACTACAAAAAGTAATAAAGGACATGACAAGGCAGAAGGAAAATGAAACTGTATGGAAATCTCAAACTACCCATAAGAATTGAAAATATCAAAAATCTTAACTGCATGATAAAAATCATTTAAGTCTCTATTACCATAATTCATTGTTTAAAGTAAAAAATAGGAGCTATGGTAGCATTGTTGTCATTGTGAGTGCCATCGATTCAGTTCCAACCCATGGCAACCCTGTATAGGGTTTCCAAGGTGTGGTTGGTGAGCTTGAACCATACTGACCTTGTGGTTCCAAATCAGGCTGCTAACCTCAAATCAGTAGTTTCAAACTACCAGCCTTTCCAGGGAAGAAATATGAGGCTGTCTGATACAGTAAAGACTTAAACCTCAGAAATCCTATTCAGGATCGCTATGAGTCAGTACTGACTCTTCGGCACAGCAGCACCAAAGCAAAAAATATTTATAATACATGAATAAAGTATGTTATAAGTTTAATTTACTATTGTTGTTGTTAGGTGCCATCAAATAAGTACCGACCCATAGCAACGCTACATATATTAGAACAAAGCCCATCCAGTCCTGCACCATTCCGACAATTGCTACTGTGTTTGAGTCCGTTGTTGTTGCCACTGTGCCTCTCCATCTCAATGGGGATCTCCCTCTTTTTGCCCAGTCTCTTCCCTTGACCCAGTCTCTCCATGGTACAATGCTGTCTGTGATAAGATAATATCCATGCGCCTACAGGGAAGCCCAGTTAATACCACTAGGATTCAAATTTACACACCAACCACTAAAGCCAGTGAGGATGAAACAGAAGAATTCTACCAACTTCTTCGATCTGAAGTCAATCAAACATGCAATCAAGATGTATTGATCATTACTGGTGATTGGAATGCAAAGGTTGGGAGCAAAGAGGAAGGATGAGTATTTGGAAAATATGGCCTTGGTGATAGAAATGATGCTGGAGAACACATGATAGAATTATGTAAAACCAATGATTTGTTTATT